CAAAGGGTTAAACTGTGCATTATTTTGTATAATTAAGGATTTTTCAAACTTATTATTTTTTCTGTGCTTAACTAAAAAAAAAACTGTTTACAGCAAATGGTTCGTAGGGGTCTAGAATGGACTAGTGAAATGTTAGTTCTCTGTTGTTCAAATTTTTTACATTTCGTTTACTATTACACTGTGCACTATGGTATAATTAACTATTTTTGTGCTTAAAAATCTTAAAAAAAAATATTTACATACAATTCATAGGGGGTCTGGAACGGATTAATCGGTATTTACATAACCCAATGGGGAAATTAGGTTCAGGTCACGACAAAATCAGGTCATGACCAGAGTTTTGGAATGAATTATGGCCGCAACCAGAGGTTCCAAAGTATATTGCAAAATGATTTAACTTTGAATTCTGTTACGTATTTAATAATTATACTGTTATATAAAAAAAATCTGCTGACTGAAATGTTAGGCATTAATGTATTGTAAAATCAGTGGCCCTGAAGTGAAGAAACTTTTCTTCAGAGCACAGTACTTGCTCCAAATGTCTTACAGCAAATATAAATACTGCCAAAACAATGATTTAAAAGGAAACTAGCACCTGCAACAAGTGCCAAATCAGCTAGGTTGTGATGAGTATGTATGCCTATGAGCCACAGACAGGAATAGTCTGGTTGACAAGGTAGTGAACAATGAAGTCTGGAATCAGGTTGGCTTTTAAAAGGAACTCTCAAAATCAGTCACAGGTACTGAGCTTCAAATTTTACATTTATAACGTGTACTCTGCACTGTATTCATAACCAATTCGAGTAAACTAAGAAAATGCAATTTGTACAGGAGTCACTCCTATGCCCATTGTCATACATGGTCACTATAAACTTTCCTTGCAACCTGATTAAAAATATGACATGATTCTCAAAAACAGGCAATTTCCCATACAAGAAAGCACTTGATGGTTGTCATACAAGGACAGATGTGTTCAAGACCAACCATTGATTAAAACATTCATATATCAAGAAGTCAGTCTGCCAACTTTCTACAAATATTATTAACATACAGCACTTGGAAGATGATACAAAGGGTTAATATTAGAAGCAACTTGGTCCCTGAGACAACAGAGATGAATGACAGAGTTAGAAACACTCAAAATCCTTTGTGCAACTGTCATAATTGGTTTTCATAATTACAGTCCCGCATTTAAAAAATATAACAGCCAAGTACATTTACAGACTCCCCTACATACAAACATTCGTGCTGCGAACTTTCAATAACACAAACAATTTGCAGGAAGCACCGAGATGTAAACGATACATGGTAAGTTACTCTAGTGGCATCATTCATACATGTGCGTGTGCTCTTTCCATAAATTCAGCATTATTTGTGATTAATATACCCCAATATGTCCAGTGTTAAGCACAAAAGCAGTGGTGATGCAGGTGGTAGTGCTAAGAAGCACCAGACCATCATAATGGAAACAAAAGTGGCTATAATGTATTTTTCTTGTGTTCACGTATATGTTTAAACTAAGTACACATCTAGGCTACTCGATGTTCATACATACATACACTACACTACTGTTCAATGCTGCATATGTACATATGTTGGACTTATGAACCTGTTCGTAAGTAGGAGAGAGACTGTACAGCATTACGTAAAGAGATTTCAGATCATTAAAGTAACAAACTGCAGAGAAGTCAAATGGTCATGATTCCTAATCGTGCAGCTAGACAACTGGCCCACCACCCTAGGTGACCATACATACATATATAAAAAAAAATTCTGAGTGACTGGTCAGTTAACCTTGCTAGTCCACTACTACTGTAAGATGTCACTCAATGAATTCCCCAACACCATTTAGGTCATGGGTAACAGCTTGTATGCTTTATACTACTGTATATACACACACAGTTTTCATGTGATGAAAATGGTTTTGAAAACCAACAATTTGAAGAATGAGACTTGTAACATTTGGGAATCTTCAATAAAAGATTCCAAAATGTTGCACATTAACCTGAAAATGAACCAAAATCTTGGCATACAAAGTAGTGATGAATGGTTTTGAAAACCGACAAGTTGAAGATTGAGACACTTATGCACCATATGGGAATCTTTATTTAGGAAACGTTCGCCACACAGTGGCTTCATCAGTCCAATACAAAGCAGAATGGTGAAAGGAGATTGAGGTAATCAGTCCCTCAGCCTGGAGTTGATGTGTTCAGTCCATCAATCTTGTAGAATGTACATTCTAGAGGAGGAGATTGAGGTAATCAGTCCCTCAGCCTGGAGTTGATGTGTTCAGTCCATCAATCTTGTAGAATGTACATTCTACAAGATTGATGGACTGAACACATCAACTCCAGGCTGAGGGACTGATTACCTCAATCTCCTCCTCTCCTTTCACCTTTCTGCTTTGTATTGGACTGATGAAGCCACTGTGTGGCGAAACATTTCCTAAATAAAGATTCCCATACAGTGCATAAGTGTCTCAATCTTCATACAAAGTAGTGTAGGGCATACTGACATTACTATTTCCTGTACCAGTTTCATCAGAGATTTTAAGTAATCTTCAACTATGTACTAGTGACTTATTACAACCAACTGACTAATCCATACACAAATAACCCACACATAGGAGAGGGGAGCTTTGACAACATTTTGGTCTGACTTGGACCATTCACAGTCACAATGACTTTGTAAATGGTCCAAGTTGGACCGAAACATCGTCGAAGCTCCCCTCTCCTATGTGCGGGTTACTTGCGTATTGTTCCAGTCATGGTATTGTGTCTTTTTGTTATTAACCCTTAAACGGTCCAAACAGATCAGATAAAAGTTTTTTTTACACATTTTTAAATGTAAAACAAGAAAGATGATCTACTTTTTTTTTTTACATACTTTCAAATGTTGAAAAAACGTATATATACGTTTGGACCATTTAAGGGTTAACTGGCTAATCATTAGCATTTCTTATGCATATTCACTGGTTCAGGAGGGGTACATTTGTCTGCCTGCTACAACATGAGTTTTCTGGCTCATATGACTTCCTCTTCACAATTTCCTGACTTAGGTTTCCTTTTGTTATTCCTGAAACATCACAGGTTGCCTTATCAAGAAAATAGTCAAAAATTCATATACACATTTTAATCTTAAAAAGACTCGCTTAAATTAAGAGGAACCCGATACCTTTGGCGCATTCAAGTGAGAAATGCAGCTTCAGCATATCAACAGGTGCATCCAGTCAACAGGAGTTTGTCACCTTTCATAAATAAACAAAAAAAAAAAAAAAATATGCAGCAACAGCCTGGTTGATCAGACCCTGATCCACCACGAGGCCTGGTTTCAGACTGAGTCACGGGGGCGTTGACTCCCGGAGCCATCTCCAGGTATACTCCAGGTAATATATGATCAAATGCGAGGTCTTCAGTGAACTTCAGCTGTAACCCCAAGCTATCAGAAATTCAGTAGAACAAAAGTCATCATAACTAACAATTCTATAGACAATTCATTACTCAGTGTTTCTTTGCACATACTCTTTAAACCATTGAAATCTTGTACCAAAATTACTGCAACTTTAACACTGACTTCACATAAGTATCATGAGAAATTTAAATTGAGGCCAATTCATGTAGCAGAATAATTTTACTGTGTACCACAATACCATTTCTGGCAACTCTAAAATCCAAATTCATACAAGCAAAATGATAGTTATACAAAATATCACTCCCTAGTACATTGTACAGGTTGACCATCACCAATCCAACATCATCGGGACCTGTAAGGTGCCAGATTAGTGAATTTATCAGATTACAGAGTGGTTAGGTTAGAATACACTTAACCTAGTGGCGATATTTATGCATCGGGGATTTTGCCCACTTTACGCCCTATTTTTGGACCATTCCATTGTTCCAGTCTATCAAATTCATAGCTATTTTGCTAGTGTTCGTTCTATTCTGTATTATGTACAAGAAATCGCCCATTTACCTATTTCAACTACCCAATAGTGGTCAGAAATCAGTAATTTGGCCAATTTCACACAAATTTCAAGAGATGCCAATTTCAAAATAGGGTCCAGAATAAACAATACAGACGTTCCTGGCACTAAAATAACATTTTCTCTGTTTATTAGTCACATCTCCAGGCCCCTTTTATAATACACTTGCTTTCAATTCTGAATTTTTATTCACATAAAAAGTAGGTGGTTTACTGTTATGCAGACTACTGCTGTATTGTAATAACTGTATAAATAACATCAAACCATCATGACTGTGTATTAGACTGACCAGTTGGACACGTATTGGATGGTGATGTTATTTGTTTACTATACACAAATAACCCGCACATAAAAGAGAGAAGCTTACGACGACGTTTCGGTCCGACTTGGACCATTTACAAAATCACACTTTGTAAATGGTTCAAGTCGGACCGAAACGTCGTCGTAAGCTTCTCTCTTTTATGTGCGGGTTATTTGTGTATCGTTCCAGTCACGGTATTGTTCCTGTATTGTTATTTATTTGTTTACTCTTGAACACTGGCAAACATAGAACATTTCCTCTATCTTGAGCTCAATTTCAAGGTACTTTCCATCGTGAAACCAATCAAAATCATATCTATTTCTGTAACATATCTTCCACTGTATCACACAAGACCAAAAAAACGAGAATAAAACCATAAAAATACGATAATACACGGCGAAGTCAGCGTTTCACACCAAAAACAAGGTCACAGTTTTTTCTCATTATGCACTTCGTGTTGCAGGATTTTTTTTTTTCATATAGTGCACACTTACCACACATGCCTATTCCGTCATATATATGCAAAAATTTACCAGTCACAGCTTATCTGAGTGAGTTGAGCTCATGGTGACTGACAGTGGCTTCACAGCCACCTTATCTTTCATGGACAACCTACGGTGTATGTGCTTTACACAAGAAGCATTTCTTTTAGTTGGAATCATGGCTATGGCTAAAAGTGAGCAGGTTATAACAAATGGAGAAAAAGAAATTGGAATACCATATGTAGCAAGAAGTGCCACCAAACAGCAGCAGCAGGTTAGTGTGGCGACCCCGGAAATTTGAAATCGTGCTACCCAATATTAGTGCCAGATTACTGATAGCTGGATTAGTGATGGTCGATCTGTACCACCTATAATTTCTCATGCTAAGCAAACTGATCTCACAAAGGCAATCATATTTTACACTAGAACAGTGATACTAAGGTTAAAGTCAACCTACTTAATACTGTTAGTCAGAATATTCTCAAAAGCTTTGGCATTAAAAGAAAATGTAAATGTGCTGGGTGAATTTTGCAAATTAATATTCCTTGTCAGTGGATTCACTGACAGTTCTCATATCTGAGATAAACACACAAACTAGCTTATTTTTAATCATGAAGATCTCTGACAATGGAAATTCCTTAACAGAGGTCTATTTTTTTTTACCAAAAGCACATAGGTGAGCAAAATGAATACCAATAAGACTTACAAAATATTTAGCCATTTGTTCGACAAACAAAAATGGGAGAATTCAATAACCACATGATTATAACAGATTCATCTCCCTATACTGCATCTGTTCTATAATTTTCCTAGGTAACTCTACGAGTCACTGACAATTACAAACTATGTACTGTACTTGATGTCCAGAAATAAGCACTTTGACATCTGAAGTTTTATAATTCCATAATCTGTACAGAAAATACTGCTAGTTCCATAGTCTTCCTTTGCCTAGAATCAGGAAAACAAAGGAACAATGAAAAAACACAATACAGCCTCTCCTCACTTAGCGACATACTCCTATACCGACTACTCGGACTTTCGATGGGCTCTCTGACCAGTATGCATACCTAAATAATGTATATTAGAGTTGATTTCATCTATTCTGTTTATTACAATATACAGTACAATACTGTGTAAACATTTAAAAATACATTATACTAAAAATGCTATAAATGATGCAAAGGTGACATTAAAATAATATCAAAGATGATTAACACAAATCCTCTATCATTATAGTATACTCCTCACTTAGCAATGAATTTGTTTACCGATGTGGTCTTAGTAACAGAACTATGTCGTTAAGTGAGGAGAGGCTGTATGCTGTAGTTAAAAAAGTAAGTTAAACTATAAAATTTTAAATGAATTTACTTCAAGTGATATCCAGGCCATTACTGTACACCCTACACAAATTAAATACTCCTTTCAGTTATATATGAATTAGTGAAAAAAAATCAAATCAGCCCTTGCTTATTCTTGCTTAGCAAAGCCAGCATGCTTTCTCTTAATACGAGCATAAGGACCAATGGCAGGGTCAGTTATAAAATCATAAATGACTTTAACCCAGGACTGATGCTGTGGCAAATCATCATAAAACTCTGGAGCCAATTCTTTAACCTGAAAAGAAAAATGACAATGTATAATAATAGATACCACTTTAAAAAAAGAACTATGCTTAATAATAACTCACATGGAGAAAAAAAAAAAGTGATGAAATATACAGATAAATTAATCTCCTGAGTTTCCATCTGCATGCAAGTTATTACTGAGCACTGACAAGTGTTCAATGCACTTTATTCACAAAGAACTATATTTAATCAAACAAACTAATTAACATACAGGTCATTTAATTACCCCATTTAAGACATACCTTAGGAAGTCGAGAACCAGGAACATATGGAAAATCATGATGCTCATTGTGGTAGCCAACGTTAAAGGTGAGGCAGTTCAGGGGTCCATAATAACTGTACGTCTCAAAACCTCTTTCAAACATGTAGTGTTCCGAGATGAAATGTCCAGCTACTGGATGAAGCCCCATAGCCAGCAGAGACCCTAATGCTAGGTAAACAAGACTCTTACCTATGGGGAAACCAAAATTTAGATCTGTAAATTAACATTCATTACATATATTAATCTATATACAATCAAACAGCACTGAATGACCTAGACAGTGAGCAGACAAAAGGTTAGTTAACCCTTTAACTATGACATACTTAGAAAAATAAATTTCCTATGTGGAGAAAGACTATAGAAAAAAAAAATACAGATTGTAAAAGTACATGTTAATGAGTCAAATACGACTTTTAAAACGAGTGAAACGTGATAAAAATGTATGATTTTATGGAGTGTTGAATTTAGAAGAAAAAAAATTATTCAGCAATAGCAGTGTAAATGCACCACTATTTATATTTTACAATTTAGTAACACCAAATTTTTTTTTCAGGTTTTTGCTTTTAAAGTATGCTATTTTTTTTTTTATGACAGGCATTTCAATGTATTTTAGCATTTTAACCATGGGAAATGCATAGGTTGACACTGCTCCACTTGGAATATACAGTACAGTATAAATTGGTGCATATAAATGTTTTTATTCAATTTTTTTACTGCTCTGGTCTTCTAACAATAGTTTCAAGGTTTAGTTTTATTCAAAACATTAAAATGTCATTTTTTTACTGTATGTATTTTGTTATGCTACATTAATAATAATTATTATTATTATTATTATAATCAAAAAGAAGCGCTAAGCCACAAGGGCTATACAGCGCTGCAGGGTAGGGAAGGAAGTGAGGGTATTGGATGGCAGAAGGGAGGAGGGATGATCAGTAGGTTACAGAAAACAGCGGGGCAGGGGATAGTACGGGGGTAGAGGGTAGCAAGAGATTGAAGTAGAAAGGGCTGAAGGTATCAGAATTTGTGAAGTAAGTCAGTTGTTGTCAAAAAGTCAATGAGAGTCCGTATGAAAGGTGGGTCCATCAGCGAGAAGGTAAAGAGAGAGCAGCGGAGCGAAGACGACGACGGAGGTAAATTCTGCGTGCTCGTTGATAAAGTGGGCAGTCCAACAGAATGTGGCTGACTGATAATGGAGCTTGGCAATTCTCACAGAGAGGAGCAGGGCGCCTCTCCATGAGATATCCATGAGTAAGACGAGTATGGCCAATGCGAAGATGGGAGAGAGTAGTCTCCCAACCTCGACACTGGTGATAAGAAGACGGCCAGTAACCTATACTTGTTTTAATAGATTGAAGTTTGTTGCCGAGCATAGTAGACCAACGGTGTTGCCAATGGGTGTGAAGGGGGGAAGATATTGCAGCAAAATAGTCTGTAAATGGAATACCTCTATATGAAACTGGTAGGTCATGTACTGCTGACCGCGCAGCAGTGTCTGCCTGTTCATTGCCCTGTACGTCAACATGACCAGGGACCCAACAAAAAACAATATCTTTATGCTTGGTAAAGATGTGGCGTAGCCAAAGTTGGATACGGAGGACTAAGGGGTGAGGTGTATCAAATTTCTGTATAGCCTGTAAAGCACTAAGAGAGTCTGAGATAACCACAAATGATGACACAGGCATAGATGCAATACGGATAAGTGCTGCAAGGATGGCATACAGTTCAGCAGTAAAAATACTAGCCGAAGATAGTAAATGCCCTCGTACGACGCTGTCAGGAAACACTTCTGCGAATCCTACGCCGTCAGAAGACTTAGAGCCATCTGTGTACACAGCAATGGCATGAGAATGAGAGTGAAAGTGGTCAAGAAAGAGAGAGCGGGAAGCGACTGTAGACAGTTGGGCTTTCGAGCAAGGGAGAGAGAAAGAACAGACTCGAACAGCTGGAACTTCCCAGGAGGGTAGGGAAAAGTGAGATGCTACATGAACATAGAAAGGTGGTAATTGAAGAGAAGACAAGAGTGAATGAAGGCGAAGAGAGAAGGGATGGAGTAAACAGGGGCGGCAAACAAATAAAGAATGTCTACTAATATCAGTGACCATTCTATAAATGGAAGGATTGCGGAGATCACGAGAGCGTACATAGTAGCGAAGGCAATGGGCATCACGGCGATCGGATAAGGATGGAACGTTCGCTTCTGCATAGAGGCTCTCGACAGGGGAAGAGCGAAAAGCCCCAAGGCATAAACGTAATCCTTGGTGATGAATGGGGTTAAGGCTAGAGAGAGTAGCAGGAGATGCCGCTGAATAGATCTGGTCCCCATAATCAAGTTTCGATAAAATAAGGGTGGAATGTAGGCGAAGGAGGGTTCGACGATCAGCTCCCCATGAAAGATGAGCAAGGGTTTTAAGAAGGTTCAGCCGGCTGTGACAAGTTGCCTTCAGAGAGGCAATGCGAGGTTTCCAGGATAACCTACGATCAAAGAGGAGGCCCAGAAACTTGACTGTATCACGTTCAGGGATACGGGAGCCAAAGAGGTACAAAGGATGATCGGAGATGACAAGAGCGTCTAGTGAAAGTAATTTGGTGGGTTTTAGTGCTGGAAAATTTAAACCCACGTGTGGTGGCCCAATTGGAAACACGGTCGACTGCATGCTGGAGAGAAACTGTAATGAGGCGACAGTCAGCGCCTGCACAGGCAATAGCGAAGTCATCAACATAGAGTGATGATCAAATATTTGATGGAAGACTAGAGGCCAAATCATTAATAGCAAGGAGAAAAAGTGTTGTGCTCAGAACACATCCCTGGGGGACACCTTCAGCTTGGATAAAGTCCGGGGAGAGCACATTATTAACCCAAACACGGAAATGCCTGTCAGTTAAAAAGTTCTTAAGGAAGGATGGTAGATTGCCTCGAAGGCCTAAGGAGTGGGCTTGGGCTAAAATATTATACTCCAAGTTGTGTCACATGCCTTCTCAAGTCAAAAAATATGGCAATAACTAAGTGGTTATTCGCAAAGGCATACGAACATACGTATCCAAGCGTAGTAAGGGGTCTATGGTAGAACGTCCCTTACGAGAGCCATATTGACGAGTGGAGAGACTGTTGTGTCTCTTAAATACCACACTAAACGTCTATTTACTAGGCGTTCCATCACTTTGCAAACTGCACTGGTAAGAGCAATGGACGATAGTGGAGGTTTCATGTCCCGTAGTGCCTGGTTTGCGGAAAGGGAGAACAATGGCAGATTTCCACAGCTGTGGAAGAACTCCTTGTGACCAAATAAGATTGTAAAGGCGTAATAGGACTGCAAGGGCTGACTGATGTAAATGTTGTAGCATACGAATATGAATGTCGTCGGGCCCAGCTGCCGATGATCGGCAAGCTGAGAGTGTTGCCTCCAGTTCTTGAAGTGTAAAAGGCACGTTATACTGTTCTTCTCTGAGAGAAGAAAAGTCCAAGGGTGCTAACTCTCTGGCAGACTTTGAGGAAAGAAATGAGGGGCATAAATGGAGTCCCTGAGAAATACGGACCAGATGATTGCCAATTTCATTGGCAACATCTAGTGGGTTTGCTATTTCAACATCGGCAACCCGCAGAACAGGAGCCGGGTCAGAATATTTACCATTCAGTTTTCGTACTTTTTTCCAGACTGCACTCAGAGGAAGCAGAGGTGATGGTGGAGACATAATCTAGCCAGCAAGTGCGTTTAACGTCACGGATGACACGGCGAGCGATCGCACGCTTCTGCTTAAAATCAAGAAGTCTCTCTGTGGTTCTATTGTACCGGTACCTGCCCCATGCAGCGCGTTTCAAACGTACTGCACGAGCACAAGCAGGAGACCACCAAGGCATGCATTTCTGAGAATGCCTGCCCGAAGTTTGGGGTATAGAATGAGAAGCTGCAGTTAAAACGGAGGACGAGAAGAGGTGTAAAAGCTCATCGATGGAGGACGAAGAAGGAACCTCTCTAAAAACAGTTAGGTGTGAGTAAAGGTTCCAATTTGCCTGATCAAATTGCCAGCGTGGGATGCGAAGAGGTGGTGAATATGAAGGGGAAGTAAGAATGATTGGGAAATGATCGCTGTCATTTAAGTCCGGGAGAACAGACCAAGTGAAGTCTAATGCGGCGGAGGAAGAGCAGACTGAGAGATCGATGCAAAAGAGAGTGTGAGTCCGAGGATCAAAATGGGTGTGAGTACCTGTATTTAAAACATGCAGGGGGTGGGTGGCAAGAAAAGCCTCTAACTGAATGCCACGGGAATCACAGTGAGACCCCCCCCCCCAGAGGAAATGGTAGGCATTAAAATCACCAAGTAACAGAATCAGTGGCGGTAATGACGAAACAAGAAAGGCAATATCCGGAATAGATAATGCCCGAGAAGGAGAGAGATATAAAGAACAGAGCGTATACCACCTATGCAAGTGGATACGGGCTGCTGTGTAATGCAGCAAAGTACGAACAAATAGCTGATGGTACAGAATATCAGTGCGTAGAAGAAGGGCACTTTCATTAAAGGTCCCATCAGGAAAAGAATCTGAAGAATACAATAAATTATAGCCTGAGATGGGAGAGATAACAGCAGAGTGTAATTTTGGTTCCTGTAAGCAAACACCAACAGGGGAAAACTGGGAGAGTAACATCTGAAGCTCACCCCGATTACCCCTGAGGCCGCGTATATTCCACTGTAAATAGGCCATGATTGGCAATGATAAAGATACCTGAAATCCGCAGGTAAGGGTTCCTACGGACTAGAGGGGTTAGAAAAGTCCACATGCGGAGGCAGTGGAAAACGTTCAAGCAGTGAAGGAACGGTGCGCTGTGAAGAAAGGAGTTGTGCAGATGGAGCAGAGGAGAGAGAAGAAGCGGAGGGTGGATCAGTGTCCATTGATGGTTTGGTCTCTGCAATATATTCAGAGATTGCTTCAAGTGTTTCGGAATTCAGAGACGTCGTATGGGAGACAATATTGGAAATGGTCGGGGGAGGATGAGTAAAGATTGGAACTGTATTGGACTCTACCAAGGTAGGGGAGGGCGAAAGGGTGGAGGGAACTGGAGAAGCGTGGAAGGGGACAGAAGAGGCAGAAACCTGGGAAGTGGCAGAAGAGGAAGAAGCTTGTGAGGGAACAGGGAAGGAAGGTACAGTACGAGGAGGAGGGTGAACCTCTATACTTGTAACAGAGCCAGTGAGAGGGGGAAAACCAGGTACAGAGACAGGGAAGGTAAAATGAGGAGGTGGAAGATGGGTAGGAGGTGCTAACGGACCTTTTTTGACTTTGATAAGTAAGGGACGATTGGGAGGAGGTGTCATACGAGATCTCGTCGCTACTGAGGCTTGTGAGAGAGAACACGAAGAAGCAAGATCAGACTGAGGCATTGAAGTAGGGACGTCTGAGCAGAGGACAGCAAAAGAATTAGATACAGGAGTGACTATGGGAGAGGTAACCACAGAGGTGGGTGCAGAAGATGGGATACCAGAAGTGGGGGGGACGTTTTGAAACACGGGAATAAGAAACACGAGGTAGTCTCCCTTGAAGGCGGATATGAGAAACTGCCATGGCATAAGGGAGACCTTCTGCCTCTTTGAGGTAACTGATTTCCCGCTCGTTTAAGTAGACTTGACAACGGCGAGAGTACGAAGGGTGAGCCTCATGACAATTAAGGCAAGAGGGAGGTCGACTGCAAGACGTATTAGAATGGTCATCGGCACCACAGACTGGGCATTCGGCGATAGATCTGCAATATTTCGCTGGATGGCCAAATCGCCAGCAATTTTCTACCTGTTGCGGTGTAGGGATCACCTTTCGAACTTGTAACCGATGTCCTGCTACATAAACTGAGGATGGGAGTTCACGGCTGTCAAAAGTTAAACGAGCCACATTGCTAGGGTATCGTCTCCACCCGCGGGCAGGAAGAACATAAGTGTCTACCTTGAGGATTGGGAGATCTTGGAGTTCCAGCTGTTCAAGAATGTCAGTGCCACATGTCTGGAAATTTTGTTGAACTATGGTATGGGGCAGAATGACGGTACCACTACAAGAATTGAGGGAATGATGTTTTTCAATAGTGACAGGAACAGTATCGATATGGGAAAGACGAGAAAGCTCATGAGCCTGGGTAACATTCTGGACGGTGATGATGCGCATACTGCTCTGAAGAGCATGAAAAGAAATATCTTTACCAACATGGCGTAGGAGTGCCTTGCCAATACTGTGGTCAGAAAGATAGGCAGTAGAGGAAGTCGGTTGTAAAGTGAAGAATTTAGTCCATTGTGTAGTCTGAAACTGAGTGTGGAAAGGTAGTGAAGGACGTGTCGATCTTTTCTGAGAAGAACGAGAAGGGGGAAAAGTATCATCAGCAGGTAATTGGGTCGTTGGCGTTAGGGCGTGGGACCAGATTTGGTCGACGTGGAACGGGTCGGCGATTCGAAAATTGCCGCACCGTAGAGGGAGAGGCCGGAAGCATAGTCAGAGGAGAGCGAAGGTCAGATAAATCGAAGGATCAGTCGGGGCCTCAGTACCTGAAGCGGGGAGGAAACAGCACCGGGCAAGAGGTACAGAGGCACGAGGAGTGTCCGAAGAGTGGTCCAAAGCCGAGCGGGGTCAGAATGGGGTGCAGTTCAAAAAGGGGCCCCCCGGGGGGTAGCAGGTTCATGGACTAGGGCTCCATGGTTAGGTTATTTCTTTCTTTTTGTTTTAAGAAAAAAAAAAAGAAAAGAAAAATAAAAAAAAGAATAAAAAAAGGGGGGCCCGGGGGAGGGATAGCTCCTAAGGAATGAAAGGGCCAGAAATCTCCCTCCGCGCCAAGAGGACTTTAGCACCGCAAGTAGCGCAGATGCAGCATGGAACCCGTGCCATACCCAAACCCATCATGCCAGTAAACGCAATCTGGGATAGCATCCTCACATCTGCCGAGCTACTCGGTGGACAAAAGAGGGGGCGGCCGGAAACCCCCCAAAGCATACCTCCTTCGGCCACCACCCCCGGAATCCGAAAGGTGGCTTCCAGAGATACACCCGTCGCCCAAGAGACACCCAAAGCCCCCCTCGGGATAACCGGAGAGGGATCGGGACACCCCAGGCAATCCAGATTCCACGGCAAACTACGCCACCGCCAAGAACCTCAACGGAATGGATGGACCCCGGGTACCTTTCCCTACCTAGGAACTACGTGCATGTGGGGGAGGAAAAAAAAAAAAAAAAAAAAAAAAAAAAAAAAAAAAAAAAAAAAAAAAAAAAAAAAAAAAGGCCAAAAAGGAAGGGCAAAAGGGAGGGGTGGGGAGGAGGAGGAGGAAAGGAAAAAGGGAAGGATGGGATAGGGAACGGGGGATTGGGGGGTAATTAGGTTCGGTCTGAGGAAGGAGACCGACAGGTCTAATTCCTCAGACCAAGAGCCTCTTCACCACGCCAAGGAGCCCCCCTTGAAGAGGAGGTTAATAATTATACAGCATATTTTGGTCGAGGGAACATCCCGTGTTGTATAAACAATGTAATTTGTGTCCATAAAGCCTGTGACTTCAAGACCACTAACACTTATTTACAAGTAAGTTTTAATATATTACTACTGTTTAAAGATATAACATTCATCGAAACATGGAAATACCAGTAAGTCACATTTTGATTATAGTACAGTGTTAGGTTATCTTAGGTTAAATCCATATATAGTGTGCTTTTTGGCTGAATTCCAATGTTCGTATCATGAAACTGTAGTGACCAAGGCATCTTGTTGTCTGTGCTATACCCTGGTTGCTGGTAGGGAAACTGGTGGTGAAACAACAGGGCCTGGATTTATGGTTTATTTTTGCTAGTTATGCAGTGTTACCCATGATGCATTACGTAAATCCATCTGGTCTTACATTTTTTCCAAAGGCATGAATAGGTTGTTTTGACCCAAGGTCAAAAATATTGGTAGGTGGCATTTTTTTGAAGTACAGTGTCTGCACTCTGAAGGAGGGGTGTTAATGTTGCAGTTTTATAAACTGTAGTGTAAAAGCACCCCTCTGGCAAGACAGTGATGGAGTGAATGATGGTGAAAGTTTTTCTTGTTTTTGGGCCACCCTGCCTTGGTGGGAATTAGCCAATGTGTTATTAAAAAAAAATAAAAATTTGTGTACTAGCATGTTAAAAACAGTCATCACTTCTGTACTAATCTCTATGGGGGAAGTGGAACAGAATTCTTCTTCCATAAGCCATGCAACTAAAATGTCAGGAGCAAGGGGCTAGTAACCCCTTCTCTTGTATACATTACTAAAGTTAACAAAAGAAACTTTTGCTTTTCTTTTTGGGCCACTCTACTTTGGTGGGATATGGCTGGTGCATTGAAAGAAGAAAATAGATGTAGATATAACACAAGGTAGTAACAGCTGCTACTCAACATTTGATATAGAAATCCTTATTTGTTATGATTGAGGGATGAGAGGGAGATAGATTTTTGTACAGTATGCTATCACTGATTTAAACCCCAGCATAAATATCAAACCATAATTATTAAACTTACCACCAAAATAGTAGAAAACTACAAAATTGAAGGTAAGTTGTATACATGTATTGATGATCTCAAGAAGGGTGGGCGTCTTCGGGTAAGTAATAAGTGGACGAAAGGCATAAAACAATGGCTGAAAAAACATCCAGACCATCTTCCCCAAAGTATTGCAGAAGAGTCGGGCTTCTAAATATGTTGGAATGTCTGTGTCCAGCTTCTCGTCCCCTTGGAACTGCAAAAGCATATTTAATTGCATAATACTGTATTTTTAAACCTTATAAATGCTATGAATTGGAGAAATTCACAAATAGGTAGTGGAAGGTGTCTTCTGTACCAACAGAACACAAATAGGTAATTAGAAATTACTGCTGTAGGGTTAAAAATCAGCTATTGCTTTAACTAAGATACTTCTGACTTCTCAAGTAAAAAATAATAAGAAAAAGGAAAAAAAATACATAAATAATTTGTTAATTAAAGGCCACAAAATAAATATACATTGTTTGTAAAATGAGGCAAGTGAACCAAATACATAGTAGGAATTATATTGTTTGAGGAATAAGTACAGTGCTGTATTTAAAGAGAAATACACAGTGCAAATATTTATTCTAAACTATATTAAGTTCAGTACAAGCAGTATAGAGAAATTTCAATGCTAAAATCCAATTTTCCCTTTGTACACAAACTGCAGCTGGAAATACCTTTTCCTTATGTCAACTGCTACACTACTGAAAATTAATGTGTCTTCTGTATTAATTTTACTGCACATTATTATTGTTCATTTATTAACAATAAGATTTACACGAGAAAAACCCAATCTTTAAATTCAATACATATAGAGTATATGGTATACTTACTTTATGGTGTTCTAGATGGTAGCCCTTAAAGGACACAGAGAATGGCAGGATGATGGGCAAGTTGGCAAATATACCAAGAATACGATTGGGCAGTGGTCTTGAGTGTCCAAAAGCAAGGTTGTGGGAAATTTCATGAATTGCTGAAAGGTAATATGTAAGAGATTAACAAACTTGTTGATATATCCCTCATTATAAAACTCTTGAAATGGACTTGATAACTTTAAAAATTACTACAATTTAGCAAATATGATATTGAAAGGATTGAAAGCTTAATCAAAGAAAGAAAAGCTGAATTGGGTACAAAAATTAATTTATATTTAAATATATCAGTATCACATCAAAAAGTGCAGTTGTATAACATTATAACTGATGAGAATGATGAAAATTGTCACTTGCCTAGCATAAGTGAATGATTAATTGTTCCTCCAATGCAGTAACATAGGATTAAGACCCAAAGCCAAGACAATTCTCTCACCAAACAGAGAGAGAGGATCTGAAAGATCACCAATCCCAGCACCCACCATATTAGGTTAGGGTCATTCCCAAATAACTCCTTTATTTCTGGATGCTTCTCTGTAAAGAAATGGGAAAATACAACAGTATTAAAATGGTATACATTGCCTGTGTAAAAATGCACCAACTTCTATTGTTTGAGATTCATCTGGATTTTATTTAAAAAATCCAGGGTGCGTGGGTGAACATAGAGGGAAGGGGAAAAAGATGTGGACAATTTGGAAAAAAAAAAAATAATGCTAGCCTATTCATTATTTAACCTTCATTAACCCATTATAACTTCCAGTGAAATCTACACTGCCTTATATGTACAGAAAAGTGTGTTAAATGTTAATTCTAATGTTAAGTAATTTCCTTGGAACATGCAATCATTGTACATTATTAGTAGACTTATCCATTTCCCTGTAATAATGCAGTAGGCCTACTCACCCATGCTAGGGAGGTCCAATTCTCACCCACCCACACCCACTTGTACCTGTTCAACCTATATTTAAAGCTATACAAGGTTCTCATTTCAATGACTCCATGAAAGCTTGTTCCACTCATCTACATGCTTCTAAACCAGCACTTCCCTACATCCTTTCTAATTCTAAATTTCTCAACCCTTAATCCATTGCTGCAAGCCCTGCTTGGAGTACACCTGGATATTTTCAGCATATTATTAATATACCCTGTTTTTATTCCAGTTTTATATTGAGGAAAGTTGGTTTCCACAAGAGGATATGGGATAAGGGGTAACTAGATAAAATTTTGATAGAATTCTGCTTCATTGGTAGCACAATCAGCTCACATACATGGGTGGAAATGTTGGGCATGTTTCCTTATATCTGCTGTCCCTGTTCAACTAGAAGAAAGTAGATACTTGGATGTTAGTAGACTGTTGTAGGTCACATCCCAGGAGGAGGTATGATACCTTTGACAGGGGTGAGTTTTGAAATGAGCAGAGGCAGGTAACTTCTCTTAACCCATAAAATTAATATGTAAATTATTTACACAGTATTGATTTATTTATACAAATACTACAGTATATGAATTTTGGCATAGGATGTATAAGCAGTTAAATTTTGCAATCTTAAAGTTTTACATCATATATGTATAATTATTTAAACAGATGCATATTTATGTGCCTAAAAATCCCACAAAAAATTAATATCACACCGTTTGGCTATATTATCATAACTATAATTATTTCCTTAATGCAGATTAATCACATTATTATCGATATGTGATAAGTTATTATATCAACTCAAAATGGAAAGTCTGTAAAAACCTGTATATTTAACCTGAATAAAGCTTACTTGGAACACCCAGATAAACCAAAGTCAAAGCCATTCACTGAGTATAAAAATATAGTAAAGTAGAAAGAATTTTTAAGACATATGGTATAGTACTGTATATCCTTGGAGCTTATTGAGATGATTTTTGTCATTTATCAAATTAATGGCCAAACTCAACACTGCTGAAGTTGACAGCCATGCCATAACTATTTTGTTGAGGCTGAATCCTTGTAAATTATTATTACATTGAAATATGGGAAACCAGAAAGCCTCTAGGGAGTATATAGCAGCTGTGATAAGGGGAGGCAACAAGGCTTGGTCAAAGGAAATGGAGGATAATTAATTTATTGGATCAAGATCCTTTAATCGGCATCAAGGTATCCCCTTTAAGAGGTGATATCAGTAGATTATTATTATAATCAAGGGGGAAGCGCTAAACCCGTAGGATTATACAGCGCCCAGGGGGAGGATGTGGAAGGCATTCAGGCTTAATTCGGGGAACTGGAGCACAGATCCAATTCCCTAAATCAAGAGCCCCTCACCAACATCAAGGAACCTTCCATGAGGGGTAATATCAGTAGAAAGAGCAAACCCAGGAGCCAAATTACTATTTCAGATGAAAGCGTTAAAGCCGCAGGGGTCATGCAAAATGTGAGGTGTGGGAAGCAATCGAGTTTAATCAAAGGTAGTGGGGGAGGTATGTTTAATATTCTGACAAGCCCTAGAGCTTGAGCTCGACCCCGGCAGACTGTTAAGTAAACACAGCCACACGTGATGAGTCGAGGGTTACGTCACTGCTTCCCCTCCCTCTCTTATCTCATTAAATAATTCTCCTCTGATAAGGCATCGACTATCATGTTCACGTAATTGCCACTCAAGTGTCACACGCTTTAAATATACGTCATGCCGGAGGAATAGAAACTAAAAGAAAATGAAACTTTTTTAAAAACATATTGCAAGCTTGCAACTCAGTTTATCACTCATCATCCCATTAAATTATGTTTTAACCACTGCACAGGCTTACTTAGAATCTCCTTTCGTCTGGATGCGTGAGGCTCTGCAGTGTACGACCATTCAAAGTCAGTCCTAGACACATGTTGCCCCATTCTGTTTATAGTTTTAAATGTAAGATGGTGAAGAGCGTCGCAACACCTCAGTATAGAGAGGTTGGAGCAACACTGAGGTTCAAGGTGTCTTCATGGCGGCTTTCCGGCTTTACTGCCTCACTTCTATTCTACTTAAATTATCTCATCAAAATTGAATTACCCATTCACTTACACCAATAAAATATACATCTTCAGGTATACTCCTTTGTCCACGTCTTTAAAAGCGTTTAATACCAAAACCTCTGCTATAACGAAGTTTTGTAACAACTCATCCATGGTAGATAGACACCACTGCTGGTGTTCATTTATTTTCTGTGTACAGTGATGGGAGGTAGAATAATATGCTGTAGCACGTCCAGGCAGCATTGTGTGTGTATGTTGATGGCATCGTCTTGGTGGGAGAGCAAGTAACATGACTGAATTTTGTTAGTGAATTTATATTCACAAATCAGTCAGTACTGATCAGGTGTATAAATTATCACTAAGTACGTTGTGGAAGAGAATGAATGAATTCACTCATTCATTTATACTGTTTCTTATTACTTTGACAAATTATATGTTATATTATTAATGTTTGTTTTAAAATTATCTATTGTTTTATTTTTTTGTGTGGGGGGAGAAGTGTGAACAAGTGAAAGTAATCATGTCTTTCCATTTTCACAGACACAAAGTTTTACGTGAATTTATATATATATATTATATATATATATATATATAATATATATATATATATATATATATATATATATAATATTTAAAAAATCTAATAAGCCGTAAATGGTAAAATTAACTTTCGTTAGAAAGTTAATTTACAGGCCTATGGCAGGGGCCACTGTTCCACAAGACACAGTATTCATTTTCATCTTTTTCCTCATCCTCATATCTGACATAGACTGAGATGTAAACCACAGCACAGTGTCCTCTTTTGCACCTGCAGTCAATACTAGAATCTGCATGCGAGTGTCATCCATTGAGGACTCGGAAAATCTCCAAACGAATACATGAAAAAAAAGTTTTTCAGTGAGCCTCGAAAAACTTTATGATGTCTATTGAGGACAATTTTCATTAACTCTGTTATGGAAAGCTTTAGGAAATAATAGCTAGAACGGAGTATGC